AAACTTTTACATAAAACTTAAAAAGTATTTCACACAGTTTCGATTTCTTCTTAAAATATCCGTTTTTCGTTATTCTAACTTATTTAAAAAAAACTTTAAAAAATCCTTAGTCCACTCTTACAGTTTATATTCAACAGACCACTACCATAAAATTATTATCTGATCAAAATAAATTATGGTAAGATAACTCAGTTTCCCAGTTTTGAGGTTAGGAGTAGTTTTTTTTCAAAAACAAATTAAAAAATTTTCCTCGATGAATTTGTTTTAAGTTATTCTAGCTTCATAACAAAACCGTTGCGGTATGATGATTTTTACGACCAGTATAGGCTATTTTGTCCACGAAAATTCAGTTTTGAACCACTGTGTGGCACAATCAATAAAAATTTGACTTTTATTTCACATTTGTAATATCCCAATTGATTGTGTCCAATAACAACGCATGTATAAAAATATTTTTGTCAGTTTCTAGTCGGTTGTTGCACGTGGAAAACCACATTGAACACTATAACGTTCAATTGGTAGTTTTTATCAGATAATTGCCGTCGTCTCTGGGGGGCTATCTTGCAGCCAGAGGGATCTGCGAAGCAAGGCCTGAGGGATGTAATGTAGCCACGGAGCGATGGCGCTTATGTGACGAATCCTACTTTCCTACCGAGGGCACATCAGCCTCTCAAAAACGCCCGAGGTAGAAAAAGTTTGTTTTTCTCATATCTGCTTTTTCACCAGCAGAAAATTAAACATAAATAAATCTGCAATATCAAGTCTCACCATCTGGGTAGAAATACTAAAACTGGAGATTTCCAGTATTTGACATGCAATAATAATAATAATAAAAAGTTTATTTAATATTTTATATTGGGATGCCATATGAAATAGATGAACTCCAGTTTTAGTGTTCTCATCAGGATAGTGAGAAGTAACGTAGTACATTAACTCATGTTTAATATTGTGCTAGTATAAAAATAGGCAAAAAAATTACTAACTTTTATTTTATTTTAAACGTTATTGTGGTTTAGTGGTTTTTTAAGTGCATAAACCAACTAGAAACTGACAAAAAAAATTTTTATGAGTGTTTATTGGACACTGTCAATTGGGATGTACTAATCATTAACAATTATGCAAGTTCCTATCTGAGTCGATAATCCAACATTAAACGAAAATACAATGGGTTACAGAATAGTGTTATGAGCTCGTAGCAAAAAAAAGGAGAGTTACAAAACATAACATAAGCCTTACTAAAAGTATCAATAATAAAATCAGTCGTAAATTATACTGTTGATTCTACGTTGAGCCCATTTGGAATCCATGCTAAATAATAAAATTTAGTATTCATGTGTACGATAAATATCATGGATGTATTAGTGCAGGAATTCATCAATCAGGCTACGTACCACGCTCTTTTTTACTTTTAACTACAGTATGTGTGTTGCAGTTTTGGAGATAGTTTGTGTAAAAGTGATTCTGCTACTTACTTTATCCTACGTGACAATTTGAACCAACGTTTATGGTATTCGTGTGATTTATAACAACGATTGCGATGTAACTTTTGACTTGTTTTCAATGTATGTGATTGTATGGTAATAAAACATGCATATTGATAAGAATAAGTGAATGGTTTGACGTCGAGAAGAAGGGATTTTAAGATAAGAGTTGTAATGGTGTAAAACGTTAAGGAAAGGAGAGAAAAAACTGAAGATAGAAAAAAAGGAAAAAAAAAGAAATGGAAAGGATTTAAAAAGATAGAAGGCAAAAGAAAAGAGGTATCAATTATTCCCACCTAAAAAGCGGATGGCAGAGTTCCACGTGTAATTACTTTGGGAAAGCCATACGGCATTCCATGCGGTTTTACATATGGCTTTAGATAAAGGGTTTAAGATTAGCGATGTAATACCTCTCTCCATTAGCCTTCTATTTTCTCAAATCCTTTCAATTTCTTTTTTTTATTTTCTTGCGATCTTCAGTTTTTTTCTCTTCTTTCTTTAACGTTTTACACCATTACAACTCTTGTTTTCAAAGCCCTTCTTCTCAACGTCAAATCATTCACTAATTCTTATTAATATACATGTTTTATTATCGTACAATCACATATATTGAAAACAAGTCAAAAGTACATCGTACTCGTCATTATAAAGCACATGAATAGCATAAATCTTGGTTTAAATTGTCACTTAGGATAAAGTAAGTAACAAAATCACTTTTCCACAAACTATCTCCAAAACTGCAACCTATATATTGTAGTTAAAACAATTATAGTTGTGTACTTCCGTCTACTGCCACACAGTCATGGTGAGAGAGACGAAGCGCAGCTCCGCAGAGCTAGCTTACACGTCTACCTGACTCACCTGCCGAAAGTGGAATGCACTATAGACTAGTCTCGGTGTAAGATATAGGTGGCCCCATTAACTATATTACCGGCAGTAAATTTTTCGAACTTTTTGTGTTATTTCGGTTTTCTCGCACCAAGTGTCGCATGGGAGTCGAGGACCGAGCAGACAAGTGCCTAGAGCTAGTAAACACTTTGAAAAGAAGAAATAAAAATTATAGATGTATTTTTAGAATTATATTAAAATTTTAATTGATTAATTTAAATATAAATTAATTAAAATGGGTAAAAAATTTTTGTAGAAGACTTAAAGTGACTTAACATTATTTCGTGCATTAAAAAATGACGAAAGTCTCTTTACATCATGAAGCAAGGTTATTTAAGTGGCTTGTGGAGTCATTCTAAACAGAAATAGTTATATTTGGTATAAACATTTGACTGAGAACGATGTTCATGATATAAAGGTCATTAAAGACGTATCTGGAAAAATTATTTTCCAAGTAAAGTAACTTTTTATTTTCTTATTCTACATTAACTTGTATATAATATTTTGTTTATTAAAAACACATTCTTACTGCTCAATTTATAAAATTGTTAATTACCCATGGCAGAACTGGTAAACATAAGAAACCGTAGAGGACTTATGTATATCAATAGCGATTTATTTGATTCACTACAAAATACAGTAAACTATTTTATTCGATACATAAAAAACGAAAAAAATACTGTATATAGAGCACATATTGTAAGCATCATACGAAATTACAATTTCAAGTTTCCTTGTTACGAACAGAGAGGGAAAATGATTGCGGAAATTTTACATTACGTTTTCATGAGATTAAGGCAATGGGCACAAGTAATAAATAATGACATTTCCAAACAAAGCAAAGAATACAAAAAACTTTCAAAATTATTAAAAACTTAGTTTACCAGTTACTTATTACATATTTCATTTCAATTATTTGATTATACCGAATATTATAATATTTAATGTAAATAAATTTTTAAAATTAACGACACACTATTCCTTTAGCTTGTATAAATACATACACGGTCATACCTCAAATGAGGTCCTGACCTAAAAAAACTTTACGTGTGGTCCTCGACTCACATACGCTAACTGCTGAAACATAAATCAAACAGCTCATATATTTCAAAAAAATTATACCTTTATGAGACTACCTGTTCTATGGTAAAGTATAATTGTATAAGAGCAAATGGATTTTATTGGCAAGAAACGTGAGTATAAGGGTATATGACATAAGGCTCATTTGTCAGATGGTGCGACCGTGCCTTAGAGAAAATGGCGTCGTTCACTGTGGAACAGTATACTTGTACATACGAGTCACTTATACATAGAATACGTATAGGCACACAAAATGGAGTTGTATATGTAAGTATACTGTTACGCCTGAACGACGCTATTTTCACTAAGGCACGGTCGCGCCATCTGCTTTGCGATATACCCTCATACAGCCAGTATACAAATCGTAGCTTGTATATTTGATACAGTATATATATGGGGTGCGTTGTGTTACTTCAATTACATTATGATATGCGTGTATGTTATTTTACAGTAAAGTAATGTGTGTTCTTAGACTTAATCGTGAGGAGATTAGGGGTGAGGGGAAAAGAGGAGCCACAGTAGCATTGGCTAAATATTAATTTTAGCAGATAAAAGAATCTGTAGTCAGAACCGAAATTCGCGACTTCCCTCCCCCCTCTTATCACTCGCAAACAAAATGCGATTAACGGCGTGAAAGATTAAATGTATTCGTTTTATATACAGATGTCTATATTCGTTATGAAGTTTGAGATAGTATATGCTGTACTAGACTCTCGATGTCAGCAAGCAGTGCTGATATGGAGAAGGGACCAGGGCCCGAACTTTATTTAGTTCTTTTAACATCTTTTTTCTTTGATTGTCGAGGAGTTTACATTGCCAGAATATATGCTCGGGGGTGTCGTGGCCCTCTCTACACTTACATATATCGTCATCGACAATTTTATATTTACATAGGTGGTATTTCAACGATGTACGGTTACTTCTCAGTCTATTAATTACTGAGATTGTCCTTCACGGTAAGTTAAAGTGCTATACCATGTTTTTTTTTAAATTGATGTAACGATTAATCAAGTAGTATGCGCACAACCCTTATGCACCTGATAGAACCCTTTCCGACTATATCTCTGTACATCGAACGAGCTATATATTCATTGGCTGTACTGCTCTGCGTCGCCTGTTAAACTAACCTTTGCAGAATCGGTGACTTAAATAATTTTTTACTCAAAAACTGTCTATTTTCTGGAGAACCAAACCGGGATCTAAAATCTCATCTGATTTGTGCGGGGTCCTTTCTAACTTACAAATAAATGTCAAACTATACCAGAGCCGCTCAGTCAAAATTTTAGTGGCTTGCACGGGAAAAGAGCGTGCATCTGCCGTTCGAAATCACGTGAGCGCTCACACCACTTTTCTCGCTGTCTACGCACGTTGTTTTGCGTCGCTACCACGCCTGCCGTTTTCGCCAGCAGCACTGCATTGCCTTTAGCTGTGACTAAATCTCTCTGTATCCAAGAGGAATGTTTGTAATTTTAATTAAATAAACTACAACTTTTATTTGTTATTATTTAAAATAATAAATTGTGTGTCATCAATTCTTTTCTGAGATTTTTTTTAGTGATTTATAAAAAAAATTTCAGTTGTATCATCAGAAGTCTGCTCTGTTGGATTGAGATGAGCAAGAGAGCTTGAGCTCAGAAAGACCGAAACCTGTTCAGGTAAGGGGCACGCAATTAATAGCAGCTCATCCTCCGTATAGTGTTGGTTAAGAAACTGAGTAAACTGGGTAAAGGCCGAAACGATATTGTTCTTGATCGGCCGGAATAAAATACACTCAGTTTCACGATTTGCCAAATACAGTTGCATCGACTGGTGTACGTCTGGTAGCTTGAACTTCACAAGCTGTAGAGTCTCACCAACAATGCTTGCCAAGAACTCTGCACTGCCTAAGTGCAGTTTGTCGTGTGTCCACTTAGATTTCTCAAGGATGAGCAGTACAGGATTGATAAGAAGCTTTGTAATATGTTTTATTAGTCTCTGGCAACTTGTCTTCAGTTTGGCATCAACGTGTTTGCGAGAGTCAATGAGATGCTCCCGTATTTGAGGTGCGCCTTCAAGAAGAAACTCCAGCAATGCATTATTTGACAGTCTAAACAATCTCGAGCGCTTCTCTAATAAAGTAAATGCAGCCGTCTTGACTTTTGAAAAGTCCAGGCTGTACTCCTTCACCGTGAAGTCAACCTGGAATGGAGCTATCTGCTCTCTTAAGATAAGCAGGTGTTTAACAAGAAAAAGCTCGGCATCCAAGGGTGTAGCTCTAGCCTGGATGCTGTCATGGGCAACTTCAATGCTTTGGACGCAGCAAACTATGGCTTCTTGACTGAGAGCCTGAAAGACTGGTCGATCCACGCACCTATACAATCGTGATAGGCATGTAAGTGTACGGCGCACTGTTGGGTACCACATGCCATGAAGATCCGCTGGCGAGTTGCTCATCTGCAGGAAATCTCTTTGCTGATGTTTCTGTTGTTGCTGCTGATAATGCGGATATTGGTAGATTGGCTCAATTCTCTGAAAAGGAAAATATTTTATAAAGTTATGCTAGCAGGGCAAAAGTATTAAGTAGCTGTAGAGTTAAAAAAATCACAATTTCAATGCTTTTTATGTAAGATTTGTGAAAGTGGCACCCGCTCAATTGGTTTCAAATCGAGTCTGGCTATACGATTTGATTCGTCCCACTTGCAGATTTCGGAGGTGCATAAGGTTATGTAACTAAACGTCACAACATTTGTAAATAATGAATTGCATTATTAAGTGAGAATATCTAGTAACTTTCATCCAGTGACATTCGAAGTATAGTTTCTTTTCTGATATTCAGGCGCAGTAATAATCATTTTCAAATTAATAAAATGATGTTTTAAGAAAAGACAACAGTGAAATCACATAAAGATAGTTTCCGCTTTAAAAGGAGGTTTCAAATAATATCATATAATGTTGGTGTTAGATTTATTGTTGGCGCTCGTAATGGAATTATCACGCATGCGCTACAGCAAGAAGACGAGACGCTGTAACACTGCACTTCAGCGTCAAATAACTACAGTTTGTTCACTCACGCGCAGTCAGTCAGTCTGTTCGTACACGCACTCTTTGTCTTTGTATAACCTTTATATTTGATCCTACTTTTTCTGTTCGTTTTGCTACTGTACTTAAGATAGTAAAGTTTAAAGATAGTTAAGACGAAAGATAGTGAAAATAAACGTGTTTGTGTTTAAATATAAATTACGAGTGTTGTACATTTATTCACCAAATTTCCTACTCATAAACCCATACTGCTAACATGTTATGGGCCCTTAATTGTAGTGTGGGTGTGGAATTTGTTCGATCGAGGCTTGTTTCTCTCTCTTCCTTCTTCTTTTCGCTCCACGCTTGAGCTCATCGCGCGTTTTCTGTATGTTTTCTTTTTGTTCCTTTTTACGTGTTAACGTAATGGCGGAAACAACCGGGAGCTCTGTGTCGGGTGACGAGCACTGTGAGACGGAAGAGCTTGGCAGTCCTCTTACCACGACTTCCTCCGAAAAGGGCGAGGGTCAGCCCCAGGAGGTGGCAGAGCAGAGTCGGGATGAAGGTGCAGCGGCCGAATCACCTCGAGATGCGAACGATGGCCCAACTTTCGAGGCCTCGGGCCTCGGGCGGAGCAATAAGAAAGGACAGCATTAAGAAGAGAGTGAGCAGCAGTAAGTACTATATATATATATATATATATATATTGCTTTGAAGACTCGATATTCACGTGAAGCGTTGTTGTCTTTAACTCATGCTCGTTTATCGTTCTCCTTAAAAGATTTGTGTCTTGCCTTAAGATGGAACAAGAAAACTTACTTAAGATTGCATGATTAAGGTTTCCTTTATTAGAAAGCTTTTCTTGTTCGGAGATTCGCGGAACTCGAGAGCCAGCACGCGTTTGTTTATGTGAAGGAAGAGCCCGCATCGTGACAAAGGAGACGCGTTTCTCGCTAAGGCTGTATTCCGCAAATGCTGCCAGCAGTTAAGTTACGTAGGTCGTTGTAACGCCGCATGGTTGGGCGGCGCTAGCGTCAACCTGTACTAACTGTCGGTGGGTTCCACATGTCAACAAACTCCGAAATATCGGGTGGCATGGAAGTGAGAACAACAAAAAATATCAAAGTTTGTTGACATCCGGAACTCACTGACAGTTAGTACAGGTTGACGCTAGCGCCGCCCAACCATGCGGCGTTACAATGACCTACGTAACTCAACTGCTGGCAGCATTTGCGGAATACAGCCTAAACTTGCCAGTCGTCGCCAAGGGGGACGCCTCGAGGCGAGGAGGGGAGGTGCGCGCTTCGGTTAAGGCTTGCGTTCGGCCGAACTAAGCGTGCGCGTCCTCTCACGCTACGGCTGGTGGAGGGCGTCGTAAAATAAATGCTGTTGATCGGCCATTTTTTTTCTCTCTCTCTATGCCTGTCATATATGATACTAGCGCCATTTTTCCTCTGATTTACTCACGCTCGATCTCCGTGCCACTTCTACAAGGAAACCACTAGCCTTACGCGCACGCAAACATAAAATAAAGTACTTTTGCCTCGTTAGTCCTCGTTAATTTTAGGTCCAAATGCCATCAATATGATAAATGATGCATATAAAAAGATTGAAGACGATCTAGGAGAACTAGACGAGGTGGTCATAACTCGTAAAAACAACCTGGCCATGTTTTCCACAAATAATGAAACTGTTGCATACATTGGAGGAGATGCACATCACAATCAAGATATGTTAGACCTGTTTGATTTGATAGAAAAATGTGCTGGTCAAATTCGACTCGTTCCTAAACAACAGCGCATCCTAAGGAAAGGCCCTAAAGATAGAAAAATAAATTTGATTGATACCTCATCTAAAGATAAGAATAAAGGTTTGAGAGATAGAAAAATATGTTTGATTGATAACTCATCTAAAGATAAGAATAAAGATTTGAAGGATAGAAAAATAAATTTGATTGATACCTCATCTAAAGATAAGAATAAAGATTTGAGAGATAGAAAAATATATTTGATTGATACCTCATCTAAAGATAAGAATAAAGATTTGAGAGATAGAAAGATAAATTTTACCGATACCTCAATTCACGACAAGTTTAAAGATTTGAAAAGCAAAAATTTAGATTCGCTTAATAGCCAATTTAAAGACTTGCAAAACAGGAAAGATAACTTAAAGAAAGAGCTAGATAGCTTACATATAGAAATGGCGCATGCAAATCATGAACTTAAGAAAGAACTAATGAAAAGAATCGGTCAAAATATCTAATCTAAAAACCTTATAAACTCACGAAATGAAATTTCAGAAGCCGCAAAGAAAGATATCGAGGAAATCAAGAAATTGATGGAACAAGAGAGGTACCAACAGAGCTCCTGGATGTCCATGAGGTTTGAGGCTGCTGCCTCCCAACACAAAGAGGCCTTGAAAAAAGAAAGGGAGGAAAATAGGAGGGCCCAAGAGACGCTCCGAACCGAGTTTGAACAGCTTTTAGCCGCTCAACAAAGGAGGATGGAGACTCTTGAGCGAGAACTGGCCAGGAGTCGACTACAAAAGGTAAATAAATTTACTACATCTACTCCGGGACCTAAATTATGTAAACGATTGATTAACCTAAACTCCGACTCCATTGATAGTTCGCTGATGTTTGAACGCGCTGTGCCTATGATAGTCTAAAGATAGAAGTCGTCAATAACGATAGCCAAGGCTGCTTTAATTATTCCCTCACTAATGGAACCAAACTAGAATTATTCTTAAAACAATTACGGTCAGAACTAAAAAGTAAAAAATTGCTTCACACAATTGATTGAAAATTGGAAGCCACTATAAACATTACTCAAGAAAAAATGGAAGAAGATAAATAACAGGGCCTAAACGTAATACTAGGTAGGTTGTCCCTAGATTACCAAAACAAAGTTTATCACATTACTCATCCATCAATAATGATACAAAAAATTAAAGATATGAAAAGAAGTGACATAAAAATGAGCACATATCAAATATGTAACAAAATACATTCCGTTAAGATTTGACCCCAAAAAGCAAAGTTCTACTAAATTTTGTAAATTTTTTGATGGACTGATAAGAGACTTTGAACTTTAACTTTAGTAAAAGTAACGGTTGCCCCGAAGATGAGAAAAGAAATAGTTTCTATCATGCGATTATCGATGGAGTACCGGGCGTAAAAATAACCGATTTTAATAGGCTGTTTGAAAGCGAGGATGGCTTATCTTTTAAGTACTTAAGACAATATATCCTGACACAGGAAGCAGAAGGGTCACTTCCACGACCAACAACTGGGTGCTGGAGGAAGCCGAGGTGGGGCGAACGCTGGACCGAGTTGAGGTGGGACCGTCGCTGGGGCAAGCCGAGGTGGGGTAGGCTCTCGACCAGCTACCAACGTAACTGCTGGTAACGCGGCCAACGCCAGCACCCTATGCTACGAGTGCAATGATAACGGGCACTATTCGAGGGACTGCCCGAAAAAGGGCAGAAACCTCAGGCGGTGCTACACCTGCCAACGGTTCGTGCAGAACCTGCGAGAGCACATAGGGAGGTGCAGAGGTAATTCTAACAAAAGTAACGATTGGGATTTTAAACGCAACACTGGTGGTGGTGAAAATAAGAATAACAGTAATTTTAAAGATAGCAATAAACGGAAACCTGAAAAAGAGCATACAAATTATAACAACAAGAAAGCCAAGGTCGATAACAAGAAACAAGGCGAAGAAGGTAAAAATAATGTAGAAATACCGAGGTGTAATGCATGCAGTGGTTTGTTTGCTGTTAACCCTGAAACTTTGTTCTCTAGACGCACGGAGGAAACACGAGATAACGGTTGCAATAAAGTTGAGTTCGTAGCAGATTCAGGCACTACTGAACACTTTGCTAATTCCAAACTTTACTAAAAAAATTTTAATGAATGTGAAAAAAGATTGATTAAATGCGCGGACAAAGATTCCTCCGCGGTTTTGAGAGCGGAGGGAGAAGGGTACGTTTCGGGTAAAAATAATCAAAACAAGATAGTCCTTGATAGAGTTGTGTGCGCAAAGGCGCTTGCTGGAAGCTTGCTGTCGCTTCGCCGTTTTGCTGAAAGGGGCATGATTATATACCTAGATAACACAAAGCTAGATATATTTGATCCACGTTCTAATGAGACTATAATTTCTGGTATCTACAAGAGTCCTTACTGGATAGTAGAACTACTGCAAGATGGCCAGAGCACAAGTAACAATGAGAAGTATAAAGAAATTATAGACTATTTAATGGTAGAAAATCTCTCAAAAACAAAGACCGAGAAGGTTCAGCAAGTCAGCACTAATGATAGGAACTGCCCTGGAATCTCAAACAATGAATCGGAAAGAGCTTGTCTACACAGCTCTCATTAAAGTGAGTTTAAGAAAACTGTTGAAGATAGAAAAATCAATAATTGTGATGACCTCATGTTTTGGTGAGATTCTAGAAGCTCAAAGCCCGTTTACAAAGAAGTACAGAACGTTTGACAGAGAACGTAACAGAGC